GCCTTTTCCACCGTGTATTCAGCTACAAGATCTGACCTGGTTCATGTTCTGACAGGTTGTTTCAGTATTCAAATGAGTATTTAAAAGGAATCACATACATGGCCTGGTGCATGACTCCAGTCCTGAGTTATCAGGCATCTCACAGTACTTGTAGCTTCAAATTATGAAGTCAAATACTCCACTGAATAGGATCTTTTGTTTGTTTTGGTGGATTTTTTTTCATTTTCTTTTCATTCACTTAGTTCTCATGATTACAGTGAAGACATTTCTGATCTTGAGGGATGGTTCATAAACCATGGCTCGTGAAACAATGGAGAGATTTATCAAAAACATCAGTATGGAACAGCTCTAAAAGATTGTATATCTCAGAAATGACCACCACAACAGTCTTATTTTCCTCATCAAGGTAGAATCAGTAAAGCACAGAGAGGTTGTTACATGTCTTACCTTTTCTATACTTCAGTGGTTTAGGATTTTCTAAGACTGTGGCTAAGACTTGCAAGGTGTCAAAACTATTCAAATTACAGAAGTGTGCACATCAGTATTTTTGTCGTAAATCTAACTGCTGAAAAAAAGCACCAGATGAACTGTCTTGAAGGCAAAAAAGTTCTGTGTTTCTCCAAAATGTTCAGAGAGAAATGTTGACTTCTATCATCCTTCTTTACATATGTTTCTCACATGAAAAGGATTGATGATACAGGAGGGAGAGGTTTGTGCTATGGTATAGTACTATAGAAACTATTGTTTACCAGATTAGAAATTTTTGCAGTAGCTTTGCTGAGCCCTTAATAGTTCTCATAAGGTAATTGTTTATGTGATGTAGATACCATCCTTCTTGGAACAAGTCATTACTACTTTACTACCTATACCATTTCTTGTGCTGCCTTTGCTATCATCTCTGCGCTACTGTGCTTCTTTTGCTGCTGCTTTGCTACTCTCATACACAGAGTAATAAATTAGGAGCAACTTGACTTCTTTACCAGTGTTCATGTCTTCCTACAAGGTTCCTACAGAACTGAAAATTCCCAATTAATTTCTCATAAGGTACTGAAGGGCCATCAGGTGGAAACAGGTTTCAGTCATTTACAGGGTGGAACTATAGTAGAACTGGTAACCTAGAAATGAAGGAGGATCAGATCGCCAGCTACTGTAGCTTGTAACAGCTTCCATTTAACTATTGATTTTGTCCTGTTGAACAATCTCGTCCTACTGAATGGTGCCCTAACATGTTCCCTACATGAGATCTTTTACAACTAGACCAGACAAATGCTTGTGCTTGCTAAGTTTTGATGTTAATAAGGAGATCACTGATAGGTAAGAAGATATTTCAAATTTGATACCTTGTTTCTGAGCAGAATTTTAGCCTAGTTTTCTTCACATAATCACAGAAAGGTTGAAGTTGGAAGGAATCTTTAAAGATCATCTAGTTCAATCCCCCTACTCAAGCAGAGTCATCTAGAGCTCATTACTCAGGACCCTATCCAGTCAGCTTTTGAATATCTCCAGGGAAGGAGATTCCACAACCTCTCTGGGCAACCTCTTCCAGTGCTCAGTCACCCTCACAGGAAAGAAGTTTTTCCTCATGTTCAGACGGAACTTCCTGTGTTTCAGTTTGTGCTCGTTGCCTCTTGTCCTGTCACTGGGCACCATGGAGAAGAGTCTGGCCCCATCCTCTCGACACCCCCCCTTCACATACTTGTACACATTGATCAGATCACCTCTCAGTCTTCTCTTCTCCAGGCTAAACATGCCCAGCTCTCAGCCTTTCCTCATATCAAAGATGCTCCAGTTGCTTACTCATTTTTGATCCCATCGCCAGATTCAATCCAGGGGCTCCATGTCTCTCTTGTATTGGGGAGCCCGGAACTGCAAAGAGTACTGCAGATGTGGCCTGCCCAGGGCTGAGTAGAGGGGGAGGATTACACCCCTCGACCTGCTGGCAGTGCCCTTCCTCATGCAGCCCTGGGTACCATTGGCCACCTTGGCCACAAGGGCACATTGCTGGCTCCTGGCCAACATCTATCCACCAATGTTAGTGAAAAGTTGGCAGTTTATCAGTGACAAATAACTAACCTTAAAAAAAGGCACACTGTTACATCACTCAGGAAAAAGGAAACACAAGCAAGATATTGGTATAATTCAGTAAACCAGCTGAGAATAATTGCTTGGAGTTTAATAGATATGTAGGGTTTGCCCCAATTTTCGAAGAAAAAGCAGCTGATACTTGCAGAATGGAGGTGGAATTCAAAGGAAACAGGGAAGGGTAGGAGGAGTAATAACGTAATATTCTCCTCAGGGAAAGAAAGACAAGCAATGGATAGCTTCTGGAACATGGAGACGTTTGGGATCCAGTGGCAAGGAATTATGTGCCAGTAAAACCTATATCTCTGCTGATTCCGGGTTTTTTTAGTAATTACTAGACTCATGTAATTTTATTTCTGTTCATCTTTGGCAGGTGTTTTTATTCTTTTTTTTTTATCAAGACTGAGAGATCAGTAATAGATTGGTTGTTTTAGGAGAACTGTCCATGCACTGTCAGCTAGTTGACTTTATCCACTCTAACTTACTGACCTAAATATATCCTAGCAAGTGACATTTCACTTCCATAGCTCCTTTGAGATCATAGCCCACCAGATCATTGCAATGCATTTTTAGATACAGCACAACAAAATACATATTGACCAAATTTCACAGAAAAGGCTTCTTCCTCTATGTCCAACAATTTGTTGGAGCCAGCTGCTTGGATCATGTAAAAGTTAGAATCCTCACATTTATACCATTTTTTGTACTTCACAGAGCCTCAAGTTTCTTCACTCTGTATAAGAGTCAGTTAAGCAAAGGAGACGGTAGATAGACAGCATTTCTCAGCTGACAAATAGTCATGATACAAGAGGATCATTATATAGGTCTCTGTTAGAGCTCTATTTTATTGTCTGCATTTTAGACCTTATATATGGTTTCTCTTCCATGTTTATAACTTCGGATGGTGAGGAGTATTAGTTGAACATTAAATTATAGTAGGCAATAAATAAATTAAAATGATACAATTCAGGTGTTAAGTTTCTTAATGTCTATGGGAAAAGTAGTTTCAGAGCTGTAGTTTTCAGAGGTGCTGAGTGACAGTTTGCCGCTTTGAAGTCAGTGAAGCGCCTCTGAAAGTTGAAATCCTTTAAGTTGGTGCCTAACTGAAGATTTAGAGTGAAATATTCAAAAGTTTCAAAATTATTTTGGTGCACAAAACTAATGAATGATTTTAGGTATTTACAATTAAACATGTTTTTGGAATGATACTCCCATACACAAGCACACTTTTTAAAACAATAAATCAAATCAATTTTTAGTGTTTTTCCCTATGAATAACAACAATATTAGAGTTCTCAGGTAAGCATTACATATTAGAATTTAGGACAATTTTTGTTGTGGTAATCTTTCATGAAGTGTTTTCTTTATCTAGTCAGTACAATTTAGTTAGTTGATCTGGCAAGCACGAAAGAGCATCTGTAACTCAAGTGGGGCATTCATGTGGGTAAATAAGAGTTTGGGTTCTGGAAACGTTGTATTAATTCTGGATATTTTGTCTTAAAACATATTTTTCTGATGTTTAATCTGTATAGCCGATCCAGTATTTTAAAGATCTTTTGTTTGCTTGCTTGTTTATTTAAACTAGTTACTTTAGTTTCAGCATTGATATAAAAAATGTTTATGTTAGTTTTCAGATTATTCAAAAGGAAACCTGAAGCCTAAGTCTCAATTATGTTAAAATCTATTCACCAGGACCAGTAGTACAAAGGGGAATTAAGTCATGGTGTTGCTCATTTTCATAATTCTTTAAACTAACTGATGAAAGTAGAGTTAGTGTAAGTAAGCATCATGCCCATTACTGTAAATCATTCAGATGGTGACGTCTGTATGTAATCTGTTTCTATTCCATTCATCATTTTTGCTCAGTTGCACAAATTGTACCGGAAATTCCAGACATCCTGCTTTTGTCATGTGCATTTAAGGTTTCACAACCTTGAAATGGTGCCTGTGACAGTGTTAAAGAACATAATGAACAGGGATTTAAAACTCCTTGAATTATCTATTCTTCTGCTCCCTTCTTCATTAAGGAATGTGCCTATCTGCCTTTCCACCTGAAATAGAATCACTGAAATTTCAGCATCAAATCAGTATTTTTCTTTTGCTCTAGCAGATCCCATCTCATGGTCTCAGGTATGCTAGCTGTTTCAAAATTTGCCCTAGACCAGACTTTGAGTAATAGCAATAGTTCAGCAAATAATCTTTTCTTGAAAACTCCTTTTACTTTACTGCACTGTCTCAAAATCTGAATATTAGTGTATGCTTTTCTTCACACCACAGATCTGAGGAAGCAGGATTCCAGAAATGGAGATAAAACTTCAGTGTCAGATATCAGAGCAAAAGGAAATATCTTCTGAGAAGTACACTTTGTCAGCAGGTCTTTCTAATTTGGGGACTTAGAGCTCCCAGGCCAAATGGTCACTTGGGAAACTTGGCATGAACAACAACAGCCAATACTTTAAAATGTAACAGTTGAAATACCAACACAGAACACATGTCCTTACAGCTTTTGGATGGCAGCACAATTTACCAGCTTTAAATTGCAGGTCCCATTTCTGATTTGATTTCAGCACTTTTCAGTAGGAAACTGAGACTAAGATATGATCACAAATCTGCTGTTGAACACAGCTGCCCGAATCAAAAGACAACCACAAATTGTTATAAAAGAATTTATTCAGTTCTATCCTATAAGATTGACCCTGAAGTTACCTGGAATTAAATGTTATTTTTCCAAAATTATAAGAGTTCTATCAAAACCTGGAGATTTATACAGAAGTGACTGTATTTTCTTCAGAAGCAGCAGAAAGAAATATATGATAATCAGAGAGAAGGCAAGTGGTAAAGAGGAAGAAAGAGAGTATAGCAATTACTGAAAGAGGAACTATTTTTTTTTTAATACCCTGATAAAAGAAGCTCAGCTGTATTTTGTCATGATCTCTCTGCAACCTTATTAGTGTATGGTAATATAAGAAAAGCTACCCTGCAAAGGGGTAAGTATTATTCCTAGCTCACTAGCTACAAATGCTAGATCATCATCTGGCTTTTTGTTTTGAAGCAGAAGCTTTCCTTTCTACCAGCTATGACAGAAGAAGTAACATACGCCACTTTGAATTTTGAAAACTGCCATGTGCTGGATAATATCACACAGCCTGAGGATACTAAAGAAAAAGGTGTAGTATCTGTGAAGCTTTCGTGTTTTATTTTTGCTAATGCAGATGGGATGGGAAATACTTTTAATTTAATTGGAAGCCCAGTAGGCCTTTATTAGCCTTATTACTCTCAGAAGAGTTACACTAGTTATGAATATGTCCTAATTTTTCTTGCTGTCATAACTGCCTGAACTCTTCAAAGTTTAGAATAATGATCTCATAAATTCATGGAAAAATATATTACTGAGAGTTATACTAAAATCCATGAATCATCTTAACCGTCTGAAACTCAGAAGAATTAACTTAAAGTAATTTTTAAAATGGATCAGTTCTGCTTAATTTCTCCATGCAGTTACATTCTAACTCAGAAAGAAACTCATAAATGAGTTAACTTTAACTGCCATTGTATTTAACTTCCAAAGCTGTAGCCTGAATTAAGGGATGAATGCAGTTTAAATATATTAGTTTAAACCAAGACTTTTGCTTAAGTTGTAATAAATTGCTTAAGAGTTTCTATGAAGATGAGCTCTTGATCTGAGTGGTGCATCTATTAGAAAAAAAGGATACATAGGGTACTAGCTGTTCATGAGGTCAGGCTCTGGAGCAGAGTTTTACAGACAAGAGGATGACATGCTTGTGATTCAGAAGGAATTCCATGGGAATTTCTTTGTCTAATTTTCAGTGTTGCCTAAATTATGATTTTGAACATTTCTAGAGTACAATTTATGGGTAAAAAAGGATTTTAACTATGTCTGGGTTAGGATTTGAGCTTCTTTTCCTATAATATCTGATGACACCAGTACATGATGAGAAGGACTTATGGAGTCTACCTGGGAGGGCAGAAAGCACAGCCAGGATAAAATCTTATTTGGAGAAAGAGCTTTTAACTAAAGAAGACCAAGAGTAGATATGAACTGTTAAATAACGGGGGAGTGGGGAAGAAACACAAGAACTGGATTTTTTAATGGTCCAGACTGCTTGATTAATTTTCTGGCTCTGTTTTGTGATGTTCCAACTGTCTCTTTTAAAGAAAAACCTGCATGTAGTTCTAGGAACAGTTCACTCCATAGATATCTTCCAAACGGCTTCTCGCTCCCTCCACTGTACGCAGTCCTCCAGTGCTATTCTAGCAGCCTCACACATCCCCAGACATCCTCCTATTACATCCCAGGATGCACAACACATATTTCACACTGAGAAAACACCATTATGACATGTCACACCACTCTGCATTATTTCACACACACAAAATTCAAACCAACAACAACAACAAATCTATCCATTCTAGGGCCACAGGAGTGCTATACAGGAAAGAAACCCCAGCCCAAGGTCCCTTTGATTGCACCAGATTTGACAGAGTCAGTGTGAGATTACAAAGTTCAACTCGTTGAACATTTATCTAAAGAAATGCATCAGGCAATACTTGAAATACAGAAGCCAAAGTTAAAACTATTGCTTGATCTTGATTTATATTATGCTCAAACAACTATTTTGTATTTTTCTATGAAATCTCACTGTCAGACTACAAAATCTTTTTCTGTTCTCATGTAATTGTCCCAGGGAATGTGGATTATAAAGCCTTCAGTCTTCAGCTTGGGGCAA